TACCTAACCCTGGATTTGAAATCATTGCTACGACATATGTTATCATTCTGTGTTGACAGCTATGTACATTCGTATTCGTATTGTAGGGACTAACAATATGAAGATGTACGAAGCTGATGGTGGGATGTACTATTGAGTAAGAGTTACATTGAAAAATAAGTAATGTAGGGGTTCTGCTCTGTTCTTGCTAATAGCTTAGACGACTAATCATATCTCAGGATGATAAAACTCATGACACTTACAGTCCACATCATACATTTTAACAGTAATGTTCGTCAGCGGTCTGCCTTTACAGTATACACATCCAAAGGCATTGACTGTTCCTTCACCAGCATAGACAGCATTCAAATGTATGAAAATTACAGCAGCAAGTAAGATAAGCATTCTGGAAGCAATAAATATACAGTTTATCATTTTATACCGTAATATGTGCACATAGTACAATTCCTACAATTTCGAGGTTCCATCCTGGAATTCGTCAACTGCAATAAGGCATTTTTTCCGAGTAAATTTTAATTCTCTGTTTTTCGAAGTATTAAAAGAAACAAGGTTTTCCTCAACTTGTAGTTAAACGGTCTGATCCAGGTTGAAACGCGCAAATCGTGCGGCATGTGCAGTGCACAAATCAGGATAAGAAGTACGTAAAGCGTAATAAGAATAGAACTGTGTAAGGTGATGAAATTTCATCACTAAACCAAAAGTTGATGTGATATTGAAATTAGGTCATTGTATACGCTGATGAACGCTGTGATGAGTAACCATTGATACAAAACTGGTCGTACTGAGGGATAAACTGTTACTAGTGAACCACGATCCATTTGCCCGTTCGCAAATTAGTATTTGTCATCGCAAATGCTTGGTTTTCTTTTCATCCTTGTTTTATCGACGTTATTATTGAGGATTATGCGACATAACTAGTGGCATGAAAGGTTTATCCCAAATTTTTTGGAATTTGTTGGAATTATGAAACCTCACCTGCACTTGTACATATGGTTCAGAAATACTCGACTGAACTTGGCTCCCCAAATGATTTGGAGAGGTAGTCTTCATTATTTTGGAATGGACAGCAGCCAGACGAGAATATTCAAAAAAATCATAGAAATTAGAATCACATAAAGAAATCTCCTATTTGTAGCGGTACTTTTCGCTCTCAGCTTGATGCAAATGTTGAAGCTTTCTC